TCAACATTTATTTTCCATTGAGAGATAGAGAGAGACAGAGCATGATCCTGGGAGGGGCAGAGAAAGAGAGGGAGACACAGGATCCAAAGCAGGCTCCAGGCTCTGAGATGTCAGCACAGAGCCCTATGTGGGGCTCGAGCTCACAAACCATGAGATCATGACCTGAGCCGAAGTCAGTCACTCAATTGACTGAACCACCCAGATGCCCCTGTTGTAATCTTACAATTGTAGTGGGTTCTCTCTGTTAACATCATCTCCACTCATACCACTCTGGTCCAAGCTATCACTCCCTGGATTGTAGCCATGGCCTCCCAAATGCTCTACTTGCAGCTATTCTCACTGAAGCCAGCATGATTTTTGCCATCCCAAGGCTTTCCTTGACCTGACCCCCAAGGCTTTAAAGGGAGGTGACACCTGCTTAGCAATGCAGTTTCATCCTGTAGAGCTCTCTCATTTGTTCTTTGAACTGCAAACATTGAACGGAACTCTCTTTTTAGACTTTTACATTTGTTTAAATGCTTCTACTGTTAATATCTGTCTCCCCTAGACTGTACGCTCCAATGAAGACAACAACTTGCTCAGTTTTTGCTTTCTTTATTGCCTGAGACTAGCACAATGCCTGGTTCATAATTGGTGCTTAATAAATATCCACACAGCAAATGAATAACAAGATAGTGTTCTTGGTGCAGACATTAGGAGAGAGAAAAGAAGATATGGTAGGTGCATAGGTAATAAAAGAGAGCAAGAATAAACACTGATTGGGGTGCCTGGGTGGCTCAGTTGCTTAAGAATCTGACTTTTGATTTTGGCTCAGGTCATGATGTCACGGTTCCTGAGTTTGAGCCCCACATGGGGCTCTACGCTGACAGTGTAGAGGCTGAATGGGATTCTCTCTCTCCTCCTCTCTCTCTGCCCCTTCTGCCCTATCAGAAATAAATAAATAAACTTTGAAAAAAGGGACAAATACTGATATAACACTAGAGTCAACGGAGTCAGCCTGAGTTATCATTTGATTGAAGAACAATAATAACAGCACAGATAGACTTTGTAGTAAACTCACCATGAGGGTTGAGCATAAAAACTTTTCTTAGAGAAGCCATGAATGTGTGTGGATGTGTGTGATTGTGATCTGATAGTCAAATGCTTGTTTTCTCTTTTATTTACTAAGTTAAGTCAATTATTCTCTACATGAATAATTGAATTGAATTCTAGGCTAAAGGTAGACTCTGGTTAACAATTATTATTTTTTAATGGAGATATAATTGACACAACACTGTTATATATTTAGGTGAATAGTTTTGTCCTAGTGGTGAAAACTTTTTAAGATTTACTCTCTTAGTAACTTTCAAATATACAACACAGTGTTGTGGTTGTCTGTGTGTGTGTGTGTGTGTGTGTGTGTGTTTAATACAATGCTGATTTTATTCCAGCTAAATAAAGCAATGTACAAGCTACCTGAGCAATAAGCTTAACTCAAGGGGCAAAAGCCAAGAAAGAAGTATTTTTCCCGTTTGTCTTAATTATCAGTCACTGCACCTCCTTTTAAAACAAAGCTGAAACAAGAAAGCCTTGCTATCAACATTCTTAGTAGTCAGATGTAATATAAGCTGTGAAAAAGAAATACAAGACATAATATTGGCAAGGAAGAGACAAAAAGGTAATCTGAGGATAACATAACATTATTAAAAACTAGAAAAGCCAAAACAGTTTGTCAAACAAAAGTTTTATGTAATTTTCATTACTGAAATAATTAAATAATTCTTATTAAAATAATGAAGCAGTACTTGCACAGAAAATATTATCTGCCTATCAGCAATAACTGATCATAGATATTACTTATTTATAATTATTGTATATTTATTTCCTATATAATGAAAAAAATCTTTTGAGAATAACAGCAAATGTTAACAGTGCTTAGGAAGTAGCTTAAATTAGGTGCCTCTGGCTTAAGGTTCAACTGAGAAATTCAAAAAAGGAAACACAAATAAATGTGAGAGTTCCATATTCCAGGATGAAGGACTAAATATGATAAAGATGTCAGCATCTCTCAAATTTATTAACATTTTGTATAACCCTATTAAAAACCCAAATAGTATTATTTTCTTATAACTTGAAAAAGTTATTATTAAATTCACTTGGAAAATTACCAGGTGAAATCATCAAAGAATTTTGTGAAAAATCATGTACGGTGAAATGCCTAGCCATAATGGACAAATGTTAAAACATATTAAAAGCAACAATTATGATGGGGAAAGATAGGATAAAATAGGCAGAGAGGGAAAGGTTAGGACCTGAGGTCTTTGGGTGGGGAAAAAAACGCATTATTTTGGAACAATGCTGGGAGCATCTGACCACAGCCCCCCGCCCGGGGCATAAGGTTTCTCTTGAGAATGTAACAGACACCTCTATTCCCCCTCAGTTTCCCATCAGGAATTTGACAATCAAAATACTTCACTAAAATAAGTAAACCATAAAACTTATGCTATATGAGGTATAGTATAACCATAGTCTGACTCCTTATACAATGGAATTGAGTCAGTCAGGAATAGACAACCCAGCACCTAGTTATCAGGCCTATAAGGGTATAACCTGTGAAGGAACAAGGGGGCAGGGAAGGAGAAGTTGACCAGAACCTTATAAAACAAAGATCCTTACCTATATTCACAGGCATTCACTTTGAAATGCCCCTTCTCTGTAAAGAGAGCTTTCATACTATTCTTACCTTCTAATCTTATACTCTAATAAATTTTTGCCTGCTGCTCATTTTGTGTCCACTTCTTCATTCTTCAAAGTGGTGAGACAATGAATCCTGGGTATTGAGATAAAGAATCTTGCAACACAATGATTAAAGTAACTTGATACTAGTCCCAAAACAGACATATATTTTAATTGAAGAGAGCAGAAAGACCAGAAATACTATATTTTTGGGGTGCCTGGGTGGCTCAGTTGGTTGAGCATCCGACTTCAGCTCAGGTCATGATTTCCCGGTTGGTGGGTTCAAGCCCCGTGTCAAGCTTGGTGCTGACAGCTCAGAGCCTGGAGCCTGCTTCAGATTCTGTGTCTTTGTCTCTCTCTCTGTCCCTCCCCTGCTCGTACTCTGTCTCTCCCTCCCAAAAATAAACAAACATTTAAAAAAAAGAAATACTGTATTTCCTACAAGTGTTTAATGAAAGAATTAATATGAGTTAATGGGTAAGGTAAGCATTATGTAGAAAATTCTGTTGGATCATGGAATACCAATTTTGATAAAAGAAGAAGCATTATAGCAATGGCTCCCCAGAATCATGTCTCTATTTCTACACCCTTTTGTTTCTAGCTGTGGACATACTACAAAGTTTTGGGTGGTTTGTTATGCAGCCATAGATAACTCAGATAACATCTTGTAGCATATACTAAAATATATTCCAGGTAGATGAATAGTTAAATATAAAATCAAAAGAAAATAAAACTTGATCTGAGAACTGAATGAATGTATGACATTTCAGGTGTAAGACATTTTGGTAGTATGCTAACTTTCTTGGCTTTACAAGGGAAAACCTGAAATTTGACTGCCTAACATTAAACATTTCACAAACTACAATAGCAAAAGAAACAAAATGGAAAGAGAGACAAGGGTCTGGGAATAGCAATAGCATAAAATATGGCAAGAGTTAATGTCACTTCTTTATAAAGGCATTCAAATTCATATGTAAAACAAAGCTGTGAACAGAAAATTTACATCAAAGGACATAAGAAAGTTTATATACACAAGGAAAGACATCAGATCTTGATAGCAATCAAAGAACTAGAAGTATAACAACCTTGAGGTAACATTTTGTAACTAGGAATTTAGAGGGAAAAATGGTATAATTTGATGTTAGGTTATATTTTGATGGCACTGCCAGTCTGTATGCTTTGGAAAGCAACATTATTGATAGTCACTAAAATGTTTGTATCTTTTGACTTAAAATTTCTATTCTAGGAAAATTATCTAAAAAAAATAATTTAGCAGGGGTGCCTGGGTGTCTCAGTTGGTTAAGCGTGGGACTCTTGATTTCGGCTGAGGTCATGATCTTAAGGTTGGTGAGTTGGAGCCCCATCGGACTCTGTGCTGACCGCATGGAGCCTGCTTGGGATTCTTTCTCTCCCTCTCTCTTTCTGTCCCGACCCCACTATCTCTTTGTCTCAAAATAAAGTTAAAAAAAAAAAAAAGAATTCAACAAATATGAAAAGTCAAATGCACACAGGTATGGTTTACAATATTAATTTTATAGTAAAACTTGGAAACTTTGTATTGTCCAATAGATGGTTAATTACATTGTCTAAAGCACCAGTAAGTAGTGGAATTCCAAGTTCCCATTAAATGTTAAAATTATGAAGATCATGAAGCAGCATAAATGTTTCTACGATGTTAGATGAAAATAATTTAAAACTGAATGCATATAATAAACAATGGATAAATACATACGATCTTATCAAATCCTCAGATCCTCTTTGAAGTAAATTTTAGCTCCATAGTTACAGAAGAAACAAAAATTTAAACACTTTCTTCATGTTCAAACTTTTAATAAGTAACGGACCTCAAGCATGTTAATTGCAGCACCCACCCATGTTACGATTAATCCAATTAATCATCTTTTTGTCCCCCAAAACTTCCTCTTACTACTACACCCTCCTTGATTTATTCAAGAATTGGCAGCACTATGCAAAATAGGAACTAGCTTCTTAAAGTTTATGGGATCACAGATTTTCCTCCTTCACGTTTCAGACAATTTTTTAAATGCTATATATATACAATTTTTTAAAAACTATATTCCGTTTTAAATGCAAAAACGGAAAATCCACTTAAAGATAAAGGATCACAGTCTTCTACCTGCCCAGCTACCCGGAAACAAACTCTGTACTAGTGCCGTTTACTACAGGCTGGGGAGGGGCCGGCGTCAAGGAGGTGGGGCTGGCGTCGCAAAAAGAAAAAAAAAAAGCCATGCAAAAATCCGCGGCGCTGCTTTACGGCTTCTCGCTCCGCCTCTCCAGGTGCCGGCGGCTGAAGCCGGGAAACATGGTGGCTGCCTGTGTTGTCCGCAAGGGTTTGACTGCCCTGGCAGGGTTGTTGCTCTTGTCCTTCGGCACCTTGGCCGCTAGTCAGATCGAGGTAGGAATCAGGCCCTCCGAGCGGCAGGGCCCTGGGAGGACAGCTGTGTTGCGGTTGTGAGCGCACCAGCAGACACGCGACTCACAGCACCAGAGGGGAGCGTCAGCCTCTCACTTGGCTGGGTTGTGGCGGGGGTATCACAGGGCACAGGATAGGACAGTGTCGTTCTCTAACGCCCATTTAAAATTTGAATTTAAAGAATCAAACCTTAGGAGACGAAGGAGGACCTGATCATTGCTCTGACGAATGTGCGGTCCCTAACAGTTGAATTGCGAGCACAGGAGTGAAGCACCCACTTTCCTACTATTAAACTACAACGCTCCCCTTTGACAGGAGTCAGATGGGTTCGGTGTTTTATTTTTGGCTCACAGAATTCTGGCCTTTTATAAAGCTTTTGCTCTCCCCAGTACTCTGACAATACTTGAGGCCAGTTCTACAGTCTAAATCCGTAGTATTGTTTTCAGGTTTGCATATCCTGTTGGCTAAGGGGCCGAGATAGCTAGCAGACATTTGAAAATCTGTACAATTTCATCTTCTGCCTAGCCCACCTCCTATGGGATTGCTGCTAAGTCAGACACCTGTTTGATTTTTAAAAAATAAACTCTTTTTTTTTATCTCACATTTTGATTAACACTAAATTCTATGTTCTTAATTTTAAAAATTGCTTTCATCTTTCCAGTTCCATTGGCTTAATGGAGGCCCTGGTCGTTTCTTGCCTAGACTATTGCAAGAACTATCTTGTTTCCCCCAGGCTTCCAAAGTGCCTCACTTAGATGTTACATTAGTCTTCATAAAATGCAAACCTAATAGGGTTATTCTTCTGACTTAATCCTTCCAGTGTTTTCCCATTATATACAGAGGAATGTCTAAACATCATGATCTGGTCTCTGCCAACTTTTGTGGTCTTCTTATTGACGGCCATTCTTTTCACCATTTAAGTATCTTGAGTTTGGACCGGTGGATTATAAACTTCTTGAATACATACCCCCCAATTGAAAAGGACACAGAGAATGCACCCTTTGTCTATATCCATGAATTACTGCTAATCTATATGTTCAATATTTATAAGGCATTTTTAAATATGATACAAATATAAAACGTTCTGCTATTTTCCTCCTTTATTCTGATGGATTATTTTGTATACTTCATTTTGGATACCATTATTATTATTTTTTGTAGTTATATTGTTGCTGTGCTTTTTCACATCACAGTGTTTTATACTTGTTTCTTCTATTTACTAAGATGCAGTAGAAGCATAACTTCTGTAGAGCCTTTGCTTATCCCTTGTTTTTGCTACAATTACTATTGTAATTTGTACACTTAGCTAATATAGCACCTATCTGTTATAATCCATATATGCTTTGTAATATCTATTATTCCATCATCTTTCACTGTAGAGTGCAACAGCTCCCTAACTGGGCTGCCTCAAGTCTTTCTCCCTTTCAGTGTGTTTTCTAAGCTGCAGCCAGAGTAACTTTTAAAAATGCAAGTCGGATCATGTCACCCATAAACACCTTAATGTTTCTTTAAGGATAAAGAACAGAGTCTCCATTATGACCCACGAACAAGGCCCTGCATACTTTGGCCCTTGCTTACACCTCCAGTTCTCTCCCTCTCTCTCTCTCTCTCTTTCACAGACTTCTAGTTGTGCTAATCTTTTAGTTTCTCGAAGCCTTTAAGCTTCTTTCTGCCGTTAGGGTGTATGTTCCTTCTGTCTGGAATTATCTTCCCTCTTCTCTTCATTTTTTGGATCCTAACCTAAATGTCACCTCTCTAGGGAAAACTTCCCTGACGTCTTTCTACTTCCCACCCCCAGAATCAAGTTAGGTCAAGTCTCTCTAGAGGTCTATTGTACTCTTGCATGATACTGTGTATCCTATCTTGGTAGAATTTGTAGTTTGCCCTCATCTGCTTAATGTGTGTCTATCAGTTTGGATAGTAACCTCTTTGAAGGCGGGTATAATGATTATTTTTGCCCATCGTATTCTGAGCATTTAGGACAGTGGCTGGCACATGGCACCCAATAAATGTGATAGATGAATGAATGTTACATTGCAGTGTAATGTGTTTGCATGCTCCCAGAGTTTGCTGAACTCGGATTCGTCAGAGAAAGCAGCATGCTATTTATTGATTTTTATATCACTACACATTACATGTACTTGGTACATAATAAGTGCTCCACTCATATGTACAATGAATAACTTTGCAGAGCCTGTATTTTCTAAACAATCACAAAAGAGTTTTGCCATATCAAATTTTTGACTAAAGTCTTAATGATGTAAGACTTTTCAGCTAGAAGGGACATTTGAGATTATTGGGTCAACTTGTACTTTCTACATGAGGAAAGTCAAGTCTAAAGAGCTAAGTGACTTACCTCAGTCTCACAACCATGTGAGGGATAGGACCTGGGCTAAAGCCCAGATCTTCAAATTTTTAAACTAATGCTTTATCCACTGTAACAGATAGTTTCTTTAGAGTCTAGGCAGTTGTTGAGAAAGGTTTATATATATGTGTGTATGACACATTTGAATGAATTTTTTATTTTATTCTCCCTGTAATTTTCTTGCCAGCTGAAAATTAAAATAGCTAACGTTAGTTATGCAATTACTATGTTCTAGTCACCATTCCTGCCTTCCATGTATCAGGTAATATTACTGTGTTATAGATGGAGAAATGGAGGCACAGAGAAGCTTCCTAAGCTTTTACAGGTAGTAAATAATAGGGCCCAGATTTGAATCCAGGCACTATGACTCTTTTAGTAATTAACTGTTTGGTGGTAGACCTGGGGTCATGAAGGTATATAGTCATTATTATTTTAATATATAATAAATACCGTGTTCCTTAAGTATCTGGATATTATTGGATATTGAGATTTTTAATGTTCCACAATGGTAAATATAGTTCAGACTTTAACAGATTAGTGAAATGGTACATGGCAGCCTGCTAGAGAATGTACTCAATCAGATGTAGTGATGTGTTCAAATAAAGTAATTGGAAGCATCCAGGACAGAATAGGAAGAAATAATTAATGAAACTTAAACAAGAAGGGTATTAATTGTCCTGTGTATAATCAAGGCATGAAAATAAATCTTTCACAGTTTGAAGACTGAATTGAAAACTAGAAGCATATGAGGAAGAGCTGGTTGTGTTTGAGTTAAAGTGTTTGAAAACAAGCAACTGCCCTCACAATGCCCCCCAACAAAAAAATGAAACTTTTGGGGACGCCTGGGTGGCTCAGTCAGTTGGGCGTCCAACTTCAGCTCAGGTCATGATCTTGCAGTTCATGAGTTCGATCCCCGCATCAGGCTCTGTGCTGACAGCTCAGAGCCTGGAGCCTGCTTCCGAGTCTGTCTCTTTCTCTCTGCTCCTCCCTGTCATGCTCTGTCTGTCTCTCTCAGAAATAAATAAACATTAAAAAAAATGAAACTTTTTGTCCTTCGTAAGGTCAAATACTAGAACCTTTATAAATTTGCATAATGATAATTTACTATCATTATAACTATAAAGACTTAATGAATCTTAACTGTTCTTTATTCTCAGAAATGTGGCTTTTCTAATATATTGGCTATTATTTGACTTGTAGGATCAAACAGAACAGTTCTTTAGAAGTGGCCACACAAACAACTGGGCTGTTTTGGTAAGTATGTTCTATAAAGGTATAGGTTGCTAGTCACATTAGATATGTGTGTGAGAAATTTTGTGTGAATCAAATTTTTGAAAAAGAGTTTTTATTTTCTCATATCTTGTAACAGAAATTCCTTATTTTGATTTGACCATGTCAACTATGCCTTCAATATATTGTCATGTGGTGATATATAAATAAATATAAGAATAAGTTAAATACTATTGTTAAAGGAAATATAAATATAGAATTATTTTAATAATGGAAACTAGTAATTGTACTTTTCTTTCTCTTTCTCTTTCTTCTTTCTTTCTTTTTCCTTTTTCTTTCTTTTTCTTTTTCTTTCTTCATTCCGTCCTTCCTTTCTCTCTTTCTTTTTCTTTCATTTCCAAAGGCTGTTTTATTTTCTATTTTAGTAATAGAATATTAGAATAAGAGAATATTATTAGAATAGCAAATAAATATTTTCTATTTTCAGGTACCATAATCTCTAGTTCATGAGCATTTAGATTCTAAAGTTTTATTATTTTAAGCAAGGCTATGTTGGATAGCCTTTTGGTGACCAGTTAAGAGAGAGGAAACTTATCAGGAGGCAGGCCATGCATGATCCACCAATTTAAGAGGATAACTTGCTCTACAGGAAACCAAGGGCTCTTCGATGACTAGTCTCTCCATGGGAATTCTTAAAAAAGAGAATAACTGCCTATGTGTAGACAACTAATTGCCAAAGGGCTCATCCTTTAGAATATGAGCCTATTAGCATATATTGCACACACATTGAGGCTTTTCTTGTCTGGGAAACCTGTCACTGAGCCCAAATGCAGTAACTTGGGTCTCAGATAAGAAACAGAGAATGACAAAGAATTATTATTGAGTGTTTCACAACAATTGCAGTTTCACATTGTGTACAATATTTTACACATTCACTCAGACTTAATAAAGTGAGACTTCAATGAATTATGCTTTCCTTTTTTTTTTTTTTTTAATGTTTATTTATTGAGGGGAGAGGTGCAGAGAGAGTGAGAGAAAGAGGAGAGAGAATCCCAAGCAGGCTCCGCACTGTCAGTGCAGAGCCCAATGCAGAGCTTGAACTCACGAACTGAGAGATCATGACCTGAGGTGAAATCAAGATTCAGACCCTTAACCAAGACTGAGACACCCAAGTGCCCCAAATTGTGCTTTCTTAAATGGAAAATTGTGAAATTTGACCAGAGCCAATTTGGAAGTACTACGCGTGCATTTTTTCAGTGGTACATTATTCATATTTTTAAAAAATATATGTTTTTCTCTACCAGTTGGAATTAATTTGTTTTTAGTCTTGACTAAATGATTATAGGTAAATGGAATGCCCCTTTGGCCTTATTCTATGATTCGGAAACTTTCACCACCAGAGGGAGATATAAGGAAAATTGGATTCCATTTTAGTTTCAAGATCTGCTTTGAGTAAATCATTTTGGCTTCTGTTTAATAAAAAATAGTATAATGATAATCCTCACTATGATTTAAAGAAAGTACAGTGAGGAACGGTGTAAACTGAAAAATCATTGTACCCCTCTTACTCCTATTTTTATTCTCCATGATCACTATTATCATTTTCTTGTGTATTCTTTCAGAAATTTCCAATGCATATTATTACATTTATGTCTACTTCTCTGTCCTTTTCAAGACACTAATGGATCATATCACTTGCTCTTTTACAACTGGCCTTTTTTTTTTGGTATCTCATTTTGAGAATATGAATATTTTATGTTAAGTTGGTATTTCCTGTTTCCTTTTCTTTTGCCACCTAAATTTCATGTCTAATAAATTGCCAGTGAAAATTTGGACAGTTTCTTAGGTTTATGCTCATTAAATACTATAATAGCTGAGAAAAACCTTTTGGGTATGGTAAAATGCACTGAGTACACTGGTTTTTATTATGACTAATGCAGATATAAATTATTTAAACTATTTCTGCTCACGTTAGGGAATCTGCACTTGATCTTGCTACTAATGGGTAGTGATTTTGTTTCTAGCTTTTTGATTTCAATATTTGCAGGTATAGGCAATGTCATAGTAAAAATTCTTAAATACATATTTTTGTGTACTTACATAAGCTAAATCAAAAGATAAATATTTGGGGCGCCTGCTGGCTCAGTTGGTTGAACGTCTGACTTCACCTCAGGTCATGCATCTCATGATTCATGAGTTTGAGCCCCACATAGGACTCTTTGCTGATCACAGAGCCTGGTTGGCATCCTCTGTCCCCATCTCTCACTGCTCCTTCCCTGCTCACCGTCTCTCAAAAATAAGCATTTTTTTAAAAAAGATAAATATTCAAACTTGATATATGTTGAAAATTACCCTCTTATAAGAGTATATTAGTTTGCATTCTCAGCAGTAGGACATGAGTTATTCATTTTCCCACACAATTGCCAATGACATGAATTGTCATGGATTTTTAACAATTCAATTTGTGTTTTTTAAGTTATGATAAAAGTTGAGCATCTCTAAGAGTTTTATTGTCCATTTTGAATACCTTTACTATGAAATGTTTTGCTCTTATCTTTTTCCCATTTTTCAAAATTGGGATATTTTTTTTTCTTATTGAGCTATAATTATTTCAAGTTTTTCATTTCAGTTAGGACTTTATGGTATTTTTTGACACATGGAATTTTACATTTTAATGTCAAAAATTTTATTCGTTTCCTTATTGGATTACAGCTTGGAAATTTGTTTTAATAAAAAATCTCGAGGTTCCTTTCTGTTTGCAGGGGAAGGAACATTTATCCTAGTCTCAAAGCTGTCATTATACCTACTAATGCCAGAGGTATGGGGTAGGAAGTAGGGAGGGAGCTTGCGGGGTTGGTATGCTTCCTTTGGAAGGGATTTTCAGAAGGACTGCTTTTTGAGGCATGATGTTAGATTTTCCTAGTACTGTTGATATCATTTTTAGGAATCAGGTTTTTTTTTAAATGTAAAACTTGTTTGGATTGTTTCTAGTCTTCTGTTCAGTTGAACAGCTTCTTTATAATGCATTCTCTGATATGCATATAAAATTGTTTTGTAGGTTATCTATCTAACATTTTTCATAACTAAAATTAGGGAGCAAGCGAGAGTGAAAAGAATAATATATAACCCAAGATAGTTAATTTTCTTTTCTATTCTGTAAAGAGATTATGGACATTGCCTTTGATTCTAAAGAATTTAACCTTTTAGACATAGGAACATTACCAAAGTTGGTTCAGTATTTGATTAAATTCCCAAAGATTTGTTTTCTCTTAAACTGAACGATCTTTTTATTTAATAGCAGTTATGAAAGACTTCTCTTTAGAGAGATTGGTTTTATTGACAATTTTTTATATACTTTGCTGTTTATAAGCCTAAATTATGATGTACTCTTTTTTTTTAGACATTACTAAATCCTACTTAAAGAGAAATAATTCTGTAACCCAGTGGCTTATTTTGATTCATGATAATATATTTCTTTTACTTCTTTAGGTCTGTACATCCCGGTTCTGGTTTAATTATCGACATGTTGCAAATACTCTTTCTGTTTATAGAAGTGTCAAGAGGCTAGGTATTCCTGACAGGTAAGAATTCTTAATAAAGCTTTGAACCTCAGTGAAAATTACCCTTAGACAATTGTTATTATTTTTGCATTTTTGTATTGCTTTGTAAAAGGTAAACCTGATTTGGAGTATTTTTTATTGTTGTTAAAGCATACCATCATTTATAAAGTAGCTGTTACTTACGATCATAATGGCAAATTATGTAAAACAACAATCAATACTAAGGTAAAAAGATTTGATGAAGTATAATTGTTTAGTGTCATTTATTGTTAAATGCTTTGGTCTGGGTTTTTAATTGTAGGCAACAGAAAACAATTTTGACTAATTAAAGTAGAAAAGTAATTTACTGAGGGCATATTGATTAGTTCACCAAGTTGCTGAGAAGGCTGTATGTAGTCAAGAACATGTTAGACTAGGGAGCAGAAAAGACATCTAAAAATCATGGCATAAACCCATCCAATAATGGGACACCTGGGTGGCTCAGTCAATTAAGCATCTGACTCTTGGTTTTGGCTCAGGTCTTGATCTCATGGGTTTGTGAGTTTGAGCCCTGCCTTGGGCTCCATGCTGACATTATGGAGCCTGTTTGGAATTCTGTCTCCCTCCCAAGTGGGGACTTGCGTAGTCTCTATCTGTCTTAAAATAAATAAATAAACTTTAAAAAACAAATTTAAAAAAAATCCAGTGACAATAATGCTGCCACAAATTGCCGGCTAGACTCAGCTGCTGCACAGTTGCTACCATTACCTTTGGAGACTTAATGTTGTTGCTGCTGTCTGCTGCTAAAATCCAACCTTTGCTGTCCCAGCTTGTTACTCTCTCTAGCTTTTAACTTAGAGTTCTTGGTGGGAATGTCATATTGGCAGAGCATAGATTAAGTGCCTATAGTTCATGCTGATGAGGTGAGAGGAAGAATGACTGTATGGCATTGTTAGCTTCTATAAATGGAGATGGGCTCTGTCTTCTATAAAGACTCATAAAGTGAGGTACAGTATTTCCTAATTTCAGGAGGTAGTTCCGGTACTAGGCAAAACCCCTGTGCCTCCGACCCCAGATATATGTTCTTGTCTACATTTCGTTTTTCAGATATGGTAGAGCTGTTTCTGCTGCTACCAGTATCTTCTACTAGTTACAGAAGAAACTGCAATCAATTCACTTGTTTAGGTTTGATCTATTTAGTCCTATGTACCTCTCTACCTTTGAGGCAGTATGGAAAGAGTTCTGCACCCAGGCAGATCTGAGTTTGAAATCTGGGGTTAGTGGTGATTTTCATTAAGTCATTTCATCATGCTAAGCCTGTTTCTTCAGCTATTACATGGTGATAATAGTACTGTCTTTGCAAGATTCAAATATTTTTGGGGCGCCTGGGTGGCTCAGTTGGTTAAGCGTCTGACTTCGGCCCAGGTCATGATCTCACGGTTCGTGGGTTCCAGCCCTTTGTCGGGCTCTGTGCTGACAGCGAGCTCAGAGCCTGGAGCCTGTTTCAGATTTTGTATCTCCCTCTCTCTCTGATGCTCCCCTGCTCACACTGTCTCTCTCTCTCAGAAATAAATAAAACATTAAAAAAATTGAAAAAGAAGATTCAGGTATTTTCAATAAAAAGCAAATAGAGATACATGCAAAGTGCTGCAGGAGCAAAAAGGAAGCAGTGAGTGACTCAGGAAACAAAGATACAGTACATTCTCTGTAAATAAATCATGTTAGCCTAAGAAGCTGACAAGAACTATAACTTAATTCCTGTATTTCATCTGGAAATTAAGGCAAGTCAATAACATTACCATTTTAAAAAGTAAATTAAGTCTGAGAAAGAATGGTTTGCTATATCAAGTTCATAGATATTATTCTTGTAAGTAGCCAATTATTGTAATTTGTTAATTGGTTCTCCTCTAATAGAGCTATGTGGTCAGTCGTTTGGCTTTTAACTGCTGTTGCTTCTATACCCTGTGTGCTCCTCCAGGGGGTTACTATGCATAGTTTGGATATAGTTTTCACTTTGGTAGATGAATCTCTGTCTGGTCTATAGGTTATTACAATGTTTAAATGGTTTAAGTAAAATTTAGAGGGACTTTTTAAAAATAAACTATAACTGTAAGATGTGTTTTATATGCTATAATTGGTAGGTTTGTCCCTAGGTTTCTGAAGGATATTCTTTAAAAGTTTGTTCCTATTTCATAGGGTGCCTTTGTGCCTCAGTTGGTTTAGGTTCTGACTTCAGCTCAGGTCATGATCTCGCAGTTCTTGAGTTTGAGCCCTACATTGGCTCGGTGCTGACAGCTCAGAGCCTGGAGCCTGCTTTAGATCCTATATCTCCCTCTCTCTGCCCCTCCCCTGCTTGTGCTCTGTCTCTCAAAAATGAATAAATGTTAAAGAAATTTTTAAAAAATTTAAAAGCTCGTTCCTGTTTCACATGATTGCCTGTCTACCTCTGTTTATGACGTCTTTTTGGGACAATGAATTGAGGATTTAAACATTTGTTTAAATTTGTTATTTTATAAACAGAAATTAATATATAAGATTCGATTTGGCTTTTAGCTTATTTATGGTGAATATTCTTATTGTGAATATTCCTGTGATTAGTGACTTATCTTACTTTACCTCTACCCGGAGTTAAGTATGAAGATATTTCTGAGGTGCCTGGGTGGCTCATTTAGTAAGTGTCTGACTCTTGATTTTGGCTCAGGTCATGATCTTACAGGTGGTGGGATTGAGCCCCGTGTTGGACTTCGTGCTGTCAGTGGAGCCTGCTTGGGATTCTCTCTTCCTCTGTCTCACCCCTTCCTTGCTTTCTCTTTCTCCAAATAAATAAATAGACTTTAAAAATGATATTTCTAAGTACATTCTTAGAAAGTAACAAATTATTATAGCAGTTTGGAAACTTAAAATCATTAAGAACAGTTTTTAGTTTTAAAGCTTGAATTTCAAAATACAGTTTGTATTTATTTTTATACAGTATGGAACAGTTTTAAGTTAAGAAAATGTTATAACTTCTGTTCATATTCCAGGTGTGCATGCTGAGAAAAATGAGTGGTCATTACACTTAATAAACATTATGACTAGAGCTCTGTTTTGTTTTTGTTTTTTAATTTGTTTGTTTTTCAAAGGAGAATTTTACCTTTGCCTTGAAATGCAAGCTATTTGTATTTAGTTTTCCCATGTACTTCAGTAAGACATTAGTTCATGTCACAAGTCATTTGGGTAAATACATGACTCAGGTGATTGTCTTTTATTTTGGAAGTTCACACCGATTCCATAGGTCCTGTTTAAAATATAACATTAGTGATGTCACTACTCTTGTTCTGATTTCTTTCTGATCTCCTGTCTGTATCTCACATATTCCAGCCATACTGAGCCATTCTCTGTGCCTTGAATGGCTGTCAGTACTTCTGGCTCACTACTACCAAAACCTGGCTGTGATTCTCAGTCTCTTGTGGTTAAAAATATAGGTTTCTTGGCTCCATCTCTGGTGATTCTACTTCCCGAAATCTTAAGTGAGGCCTAGACATCAGCTATAGATATGGTTCAGATGTACAGTCAAGTTTAGGAAGCACTGCTTTAATTCACATTCGTACTTATTTTAAAAAGCATTTCCTGACCCCCTTCTTTGCTTCTGTGGTATCCTCTGGATACTTTTATCAAAACATGATTATATCAGTTATAGTATATCTCCCTCGTTAGCTTATAACTCCTCGAAAGGAATACAAATTATGTTTTATTTCATTTTATACTTCTAGCATCGCACAGTATCTAACACATAGTAGGTTCTCACTAGATATTGGATAAATAAACAAGTGCCTTGGAAATATTTTATTGGTTAGACAAACACAAGTTTGTACTTTAAGAATAGGAACACTTCTGTTTCCTAAATTGTAGTTACTTTAGTTTTTAGCAAGTTTTATCTGTTATAAAAGAAATTTTAATAAATACGTTGTCAGAATTTTGTAATAATGTTTCTAAATGTTGACTGGGGGAAGGGATTTTAGTGGTTATGGGGGAGAATAAAAAGACATGTTATTATCATTTTCACACCTGTCTGTCATGGTAAAGAGGTGTTTTGTATTTTATGTCCATGCTTTCTGTAACTTTACCTACCCTCAGAAAATTTGTTTTTATTTGCCTGGTTTTAACTTCCTTAAATATGTGACTTTTTCAGAAAATTTTCTGCCCTCAAATAATTGTTTTGGACTAACTCTCTGTTTTGCTACCTCCAGTATGCTTAATATGCTAAAGAAGAGGGAGAAAAAAGGCATTATGCAGAGGTTACGTCCTAATTCAGCATGTGAAACAAAAATTGAACCAAAATTATTCTTGGAAGTTTCTGAACTAGCACATAAAATACAATATAATATCCCATCAAGTCTAACAGCCAGTTTTCTCTCTAGTGCTAGTGCAGATTACTATTTTCTTTTTCTTTGGTGGAGCACTTAATGAAGTGGTTTACTTAGGATTAGGGGATATATTTTGTGAAAGTATACTTCTCCTTAATAGTAGAATAATGCGGTGCCTGGGTGGCTCAGTCAGTTAAGGGTCCAACTTCAGCTTGGGTTATGATCTCATGGTTTGTGAGTTCAAGCCCTACGTTGGACTCTGTGCTAATAACAGCTCAGAGCCTGGAGCCTGCTTCAGATTCTGCGTCCCCCTCTCTCTCTGACCCTTCTCTGCTTGTACTCTGTCTCTCTCTCTCTCAAAAATAAATAAACATTTAAAAAAGTCATAGAATTTTGATGCTCATGCTATGAGAAGCATATGGAGATTGAGACTGACTGAGAGGATGTAGAGTCATATTTCCCATCTCATGTTTACTTTGAGGACTAAATGCATTGAGTATTAGGGTGGGTGAGATCTGCTCCCCCTCCCCCTTTTTGCCTGAGTGCATGAGATTAACTTTATGGAGTTACGTGTGTAAATAATTTTTCTTAAAATATGATTTAGCTCACCATATGTTTGCACGTATAGGAGGATTAGGAGGAACTTGACGGAGGACCAAGGGGGAGAAGAAGGGCGGAAATGGTGGAGGAAAGGGA